GGACCCAGATTCAAACCCCTGCTAGTCATGAAACCCACAAGCTGACTTTGGGCAAGTCAGTCTCCCAGCCTAATCGACCTTCTCAGGGTTTTTCTGAGGATAAAATGGAGGAGGAGGAGGGAACCACATGTGCTACCACTAGCTTCCTGAAGAAAAGGCAGAATAAAGATGTAATAAATAAACTAATAATAAACATGACATGTTTGTATAATGCGATGTGTAACTTTTTAGGAGACGTTAATGGCAGCATATTTGCTAGTTAACCATTGATCAGATTTATTAATTTATTTCTAGTGTAAACAAAAATGGCATTGATGCCAGCTTTGGGTATTAGTATTTAAACAGACAAGTTAATATTCCAATAAGTAACATAAATACCTGATACTTTATTTTAATGCTTTTTCTAAGAATTCACAACATTTGATTTGTCTTTTCACTGAAGTGCCTTCTCAGTGAATTTCCATGATGACTCCTTTTTCAGGGATGCTAGAAGGAAGTGAAGAGTCTCTACAGCATGCCTATAGTTGTAATTTGATGGCCTAGTTTGCATCACTGGACACTTGCTTGTGTGGAATCTGATCTGCCATTTTGTCACCCAGTACTCAAATTTATAGAGGTGTTTTTTGAGTTCTTCACAATCCACCTAGCACAGCTTCTTACAAGGAACTGTAGGGCTATTTTGCAAAAAGCCCATCTATCTGAATAACTGGCTATATCAGCTCACAAACAGTATTTTGCTAGCAAAGCAGGCATGGAGAAAATACAGTTTTTACTGAGCAGAGTACCGTTGTCTGGTACATTTGTAAGAATGCCTATTCTAGGCTATAGGATATTTACAGTGCAATCCTAAGAACACTTTCCTGGGAGCAAACTACACTGAATAGACTTGAGTAGGATTCTGAGTAGATGTGCTTAAAAAGGTAAAGGTTCCCATGCTCGAAAGCCAGTCGAATCCGACTCTAGGGTTGCGGTGCTCATCTCCGTTTCAAAGCCAAAGAGCCAGCGCTGTCCGAAGACGTTTCCATGGTCATGTGGCCAGCATGACTAAACACCTGCACTATTAGGAGACAGCTTTCTTTTTGTATCTATCTGCCTAAGTTGACAAAAAGCAACTACCATTTCAACACAAAAACCAATGGTAAGCTATCTGAAAGGGAGCATTTTATCTTTTATTTGACTGTTAGGTACCAAACTGCAGTCTTATCCTTTTCATTATGCATCATTATATAGGGAATGTGTTCAAGACAACTTAGCCATCAGTGATCACAGTATATACTATAGCCCTATTGTGGCTTGTTATTACAGAAAGATTTATACCAGGACAAACTAGTTGTTTCCAAAGAAAAACCCAGAAGTCCTTTTTGAGAAAATATTTCTAGGAAGTGACCAGCCATCTAGGGAAAAGAAGGATTACTCTTTTTGGAAAGAGACTCCAGATTCCTTCCAAGGAAACCTTCAGTTTGGAGATGCCCATAAGCCAAGTGTCCAATCTACAGCCAAACGGTCTTATTTATAAATGTACTCTTAACGGCTACCACACTGCAGTTTTATGGGGTTTTTTATATTGTATGTTTGTTTTTAATCTTGTTCTTAGTCTGACAAGTTTAAAAGCGACCATCCCACTGACTATCTTACAGTGTTGCTGTAGTACATATCTTGACTCTTTACTATTTAAGAAATTTAACTGGAAGACGCTTTATAATCATGGAGTGTAAATGAATACAAACATCTAAACTGATGGGGAATCCATAATCAACATTACATTGGCTCTGAGTCACAGTCTCACTGAAAGAATGTGCCATGGCTCAGTGATAATGCTTCTGCTTTCCATGCAAAAGGTCCCACGTTCAATCCCTGTCATCTCTGGTTGCAAGAATCAGATAGCAGGTGACATGAAAGACCCAAAACCTTGGAGAGGTGCTGCCGGTCAGAGAAGATAATACTGATCAATCATCTGGTGCACTATAAGGCAGTTTCATGTCTATACAAGGACTTCCATTATATTTTACAAGAAGGATATATGTAAGCATACACTAAGTCCATACTGCAGGCACCCACAGTTTCAATTTCAAAAGGGAAGAGGAAACACCTGCTCAGGGCTTGGTAAATACGTCAGAACCATTGGATCATGGCCAATATTTCTATGATGGTTTCCTAGCTTTTTTTTTTTTTAAAAATACATCAATACTCTTTGGCTATATGCTATAAAGGAGTCCATAGTCCTTTGTTACGGTCAACCTTAGTCTAGAAGCCAGAAATATGAACTATTCAGACATATTACTAATGCAAACTTATGACGCTACTACACACACAGTCGGACCATCAGTCCATACAGACTAGTCTCTTAAGCACAGGTCTTTCTAGCTCTGCTCCTTGAAGTCCTTGTTTTGAAAAGGTGGAGATTCCAGGGATTGTGTAAGAATTTGGGACCTGCTGCATTCTAAGCATCTGTTTGAAGACCCCTATTCAAAAACTGTGTGCTAGAGAATGCAGCCAAGGGTCTTAACTATCTTTCTGCACGCGAGCAAGATGGGGGGGAAATCCCTTAACATATAAGAATACCAGGTTTAAAATTAAAGAAGCCATTTATCTTTATTTGTACTCTCCAAAGCAAGCTTTTGAATATTCCTGAATAACCCAAGTACAAACAAATTCCAAAGATTTTGCCAACAAACTACAATTCTCTCCCTAGTAATGATACTAACTAAAGCAGCACTTTGAACAATACCCTTCTTCTCCTGGCCATATTTCAGCTCAGTATCATCCTGCCAACCTAGCAGTTCTAAAGCAAGAAATAGGTACCGCTTCGGTGGGAAGGTAAAAGCATTCCATGTGCCTCGGCGTCTAAGTCATGCCGGCCACATGACCACGGAAATGTCTTTGGACAGTGCTGGCTCTTCGGCTTGGAAACGGAGATGAGCACTGCATCCCTAGAGTCGGATTCAACTGGCTTTCGAGCAAGGGAAACCTTTTCCTTTACCTATCATCTTCAAGAACAGTGACACTTTAAAAGGTTTAACAATACTGGGGGCACTAGTGCAAGGTGTGCTGGACTATAAAGTCTTTGGAGCAACTGAACATGGAGCATGCCCAGGATTTTTTGTATCTGTGCAATATTTGAATGTGCCAGCTATTGAGGTGTGAACAGAATGTTGACTGAGAGCTGGGAAGCCGAGGTTCAAATTCCCACTCTGCCATAGCATGTGACCTTGGGCCAGTCGCTTTATCTCAGCCTGACTTACCTCATAGGGTTGTTATGAGGGTAAAATGAAGATGGGGGAAAGTCTGTAAACCGTTTTGGGTCCATGCTGGGAAGAAAAACAGGGTATAAATATTTAAAAGCCCTGTATAAATACAACTAATCTCTTGCTTTGACAGGTCAGACCTCATAGCTTTGTGAAAGGATTAGTTCAAGTGTAACAAGAGCAAATCTTTTACTCATGTGCAGCCCTATCCTATGCGGAACTAGGCACACCTATGCCCATTAAAACTAGTGGACATAAACACATCTAACTCTGCACAGAATTGCAGCCCTAACTACCTAATCCCTAGAAAACAGGGAGTGATCGAGGTTACAGTCTCAAAGAATCCATTAAATTCCCTGTTCCAGAAGGCCTCAGCCTGCAGTCCCATGGGTGAGATAGCATCATGGTTATAAATAGCAGGATGGTGCCACATACACAGCAGACTTTGTAGCTAAGCACATATATGCCAACCCCTCCCCTAGTACAGCAAAACTGGCTTCAGAGATCAAAACTTCCTCAGACATCTGAATGATTAACAAGATGGTATAATCCAACAGTTTCTAACTTTTAGACTGGGGTGGAAAAATAGAGCACAGGGAAATAGCTCACCATTTCTAAAATTCATTGCAAAGTAAGAGAAAGACTGGAAACAATAACACAGTTGCAGAATGTTGCATCAGAAAATGTTCACTACCTCCCAGTTAAGAAAAAATATACCAGGCTAAAAAGATTTTCCTGGCATCAGAGTAGTGAATTGGGAAGGGATTAACTGAATGTGTAGGACAGATCCCTGATTCCATAATTCTCAAAGCAAGAAAGAACAGCACCTGATCCCATGTCAGAAATCCCAAACTAGGAATGCTGTGACTTAAAACACAGATCAAGGAGCAGACAATGTAACAAAAAGCTAGAGTGAATTTAAGCACACACATCCCAAATGTAACATAGGCAACCCTGAATCTGCAAGAAGGGAATAATACCACTGCAGAAAAATAAAGGAAAACAGCACTGGAAAAGAGCGCTTTATGGAACTACAATGGCTCACCTCAAAAATCACCTTGGTACTACCCAAGCAACAAGCACATAGCCCCAGCCGACTTAGGACCCAGCCCATTAGCACAACGCCACCCCAGCAGCTTGCAAAGAAACCCTGTCAGCCTATCAAACTATACAACTGCTGCTAGAGCAGAACTGCCAAGACTCCAGGATTTCTGCCCTTCTATCTCTTGTTAGAGCTGCACACACAGTCATCTGCTTTGGGTAGCCATTCAGAAGCAAAAATCTACAGCTGAGTCAGGGATGAGCAAGCAGCCATCAACCGCATGATGGCAGAGATAAAATGGATCTAGCTCCCAGGCACACTATTTGCAATCAGCCTGAAATCGGGCTTTAACTTGTGCCCGAAACACTCGAAAGAATACAAAGCTGTGCTCTTGAGTGTATGAAGAGTGTCTTAACCCTTGTCAGACCCCGCACATGGGGGGCGGGTGTGATTTTCAGATGACAGCGTTTGATTTCGATCTAGCCTAATCTCCCGTTATCGCTCCCCACACGGAAAAAAATTAAGCACCAACCATCATTACAGACCCCGAAGGCCTACCCTTCTGCCGGCAATACTCTAATAGGTCTTATGCTCTCTCGCCAGAATGGCAGTGCCCTAAATCTGACTGCTTCCTAGGCGAAGAGTTAACAGTTTCACCCAGCAAACCCTCTACCATCCCTTTTCTTGAAGAAAGAGGAGGGAGAGACTCGTACCTGCTGCTGCCTTTTTCTGCCTCCTTCGGATCACAGGATTGGGGCGCGCATGCGTTTACGGCTCGTTTTTAAACCCACCACCACCACCAAAGACCACGGCGGTTTCGGCGATCCCGGAGTCTGGGGGGGACACCTCATTCAGGCTCCTCCCAATGTGGCTGCAGCCCCTTTAAATCCAACATGGCGACTAACTTCGGAATACACCCGAGCAGACTGTCAGGGGAGGAGAGCGCTCCTTGGTTAGATGATGTAAGAGCTAAGCTCCGCCTTCACTGGTCCTGGCGCTCTCGCTCTCTCTCTCTCTGGGAGTCTTTGCATCTATGACACTGTCTAACTATCTCATCCTTTGCCGTCCCCTTCTTCTTTTACCTTCAGTCTTTCCCAGCATCAGGGTCTTCCCCAGTGAGTGCTCCCTTCTCATTTGGTGGCCAAAGTATCTGAGCTTCAGCTTCAGTATCTGTCCTTCCAGGGAACTGTCAGGGTAGATTTCCTTTAGGATTGACTGATTTGATCTCCTTGCAGTCCAAGGGAGTCTACTACGGCGTAATAGCACAAAAAATTCCTTGCTAATTTTGTGTGGAGAAAGGGGAACTGGCAGTTTAAAAATGTACGTTCATTAGTAAAGGTGTGCACGCTGTTTGTCTTAGAATGGCTTTTCGGCCCTCAGCGTTTTAGGGGCAGATGATGTCAAGTGTTTCATTAATAATCTGCTTTTAATACCTACAGTTTGCAAATCCATCTGAAAAGTCACTTGTAGGATTACCATCTCTGCCCCCCCTCTGGCCAATTTATTTCTAGAGCATACCAGAACATTTCAGAGTGCCTAAGATCATTGTAGGAGCCAGTGGTTTGACTTTTTTCATAGAAGATTCGAATTTATTAATTAGTTTAAAATATTTAAACTGAACTCATAAACTCTTAATTTAAGATGAATTATTCTGTAACATCTACATCCATTTCTTTGGACTAAGATCTGCAAGAGCTAGATTTGAATCCCCACTGTGCCATGGAAACCTGCTGTGTGGTCCTGGGTCAGTCACGCACTCTCAGCCTAACCTACTTCACAGGATTGTTGTGAAGATAGAGGAGAATGATGTAAACTGTGTTGGATTCCCATTGGGAAGAAAGGTGAGGCACAAATTAAATACATACCTCAATTTGAAGCAATCTTTTTATATTTACACTAATGAAATGTATAATGTTGGGCTTGGTTACTCTTTTGATGCATGTTAATTTATGGAAGATATGGGAAGGTTTCTAACCTGTATTACAGTACAATCCTATGCACGGTCTCCAGTATAAATCCATTGACTTAAGTTTCAACCCTAAAGACACTTTCCTGGGAGTAAGCCCCGTTGAAAAGCATGAGACTTCTGAGTAGGTTTGTTTAGGATTGCTCCCTTAGTGGTGTAATTTGGACTGCCATTTTATGGACACTTTTTGAAAGAATAAAGTCCTCTGAATTCTTTGGTACTTACTGCTGAGTAAAGTACAAAAGTAGGAGCAATCTGAGCGGCTACACGCTTATTTTTTCTCATTGAACTGCGTAGGGCTGAATGGACATGTACATGCTGTCACTGTTAAGAAACCAAGTGACAGATACTCCACATTAATTATTCCAGACTGAAACTTTTTGCGGGTTGTGTGCTGAACTGCTAGCTCATGACAATTCCAGACTCATCCGTGCCAAGAGGATTTCGCTAGTGAATTGTGCAATAAAGATGCGTTTAGAAACAAAAGGAGTTATGAACAATTTATTTTGGATTTTTAGCTTCGGTTCGGGGGGAGGGGGGAGACTTAGCTTCGGTTCGGGGGGAGACAGGCACAAGAAAATTTTCAAGCTGCTGCACCTAGCGGCGCTAAATCCGTTTTTGCTTTTGGAGACTACTGTACCTATACTGCAAACCAAAAGTAACCATGCAAACTGTCTGTATATACTGCCGCTTCCTCCGATGCTCCTCCCCGGGGTTTGACGCGCATGCCTCGTGGACTTCAGTCGGGAGAAGAGAATGATGGGTACGGTATTGTGGGGCTTTATTTAGGGTGAGTGGAGATACTTGGGAAAAATATCCGCGGCGAAATAACTTTGGCGTGGGGGTGAGGGAGGGTTCCGTTTTCCTGCCTGGCCCCCTGCAGCCCTCGAGATACGTGCTAACGAAAAAAAACGAGGCTTCAAGTTTTGTTTGCAGGGGGGGGTGCTCCTCTCCCCCGGAAATACGGCCCTCTGAGCTCACTGGGACTGTCTCCGGAGCAAATTAGGTTGGGGGAGGGGGTGTTTCTGGCATTTCAGGGCTGCTATTTCATGCACATTTGTTTGGTAGCAAGCCCTGTTGAATACATTGGGACTCCTGCATAAACACGGAAAGGATCGTGCTGCGTGAAAGAGTATTGTTTCTATAAATCTTCATCCCCCACCCCCTGTTGATCTTCTGGAGCCAGAAGGGCATGGCTAAGGTTTGCCAGCTGTAGAACCAGCCTGTGTAACTGAGAGGTTGGCCCTCTCACAGAGACTTGTGTAGTAGCAAAGGATTAGTTGCGGTAACTGGAAGGAAAGCTTACTTTGTTGATGTTTGTGGATCAAGTCTCTTAAAGCACAGGTGAGATCCATACTGTTTTCTGCTATAGCCTCATCAAGCTCCTATATATTCTGGCTCTTTACTGGTGGTTATGGATATAATGCCTTGACATTCTTCTTCAATAGTTTTCCTGTAACTTATCTAGCATACTGAATCCATTTACACATGGGTTGTTTGCTCTGGCTCAGGTGCTGATGAGAATTTTTCTTCTTCATGTGTCAACAGCACTGTGGTGCTTCCATGCGTTTCCTGTGTTTTCCTCATCATTTTGTATGACCCTCAAGCTTGCTTTGGTGTGCTGTTTTGGGAAAGATCACAGCAAAGCTGGAATGGTACCTATGTGGTTGGAAAAGTCTGGATCTTCCCGGTCCTGCCCACATCTGTACCATTTTGCCTGCCTCAATCTACCACAGTGGCCACCACCACCCTGAGGACTTTTTTAAAAATTCTGAAATTCACATATTATGTTTTCATAACTATTTGTCTGGTTCTCAGAGTTCCCAATGTGCAGTGTTGTTTTTTTTTAAGCAAGTCTCTAGATCCTTTTTTGCAGAGACTTTTGAAAATAAATGAAAACTAGGAATTCAGAGAACCTGGTAGATAGTTACAATGTTATAACACTATAATGATGCATCAATTGCAGATTGAAAATTAAGGGGGGGAAACCACAAGAAAACCCCTGGGGTGGAGCGGGGGGGGGGCATTGAGGAAGGGAAAATTCAGGAAATTCTGCCATGTGGAAGCCCCTCCTGCTGCACTTTGCTTGCAGCTGCACCACACAAAACCTGTCCCTATATCAAGAATACCTCAGCCCCCAGCAGTAAGGGAAGAATATTAAATGCTTATGCTGTTCCCACGTTCTTCTTCCTTGATGCTTGGGCTACTTGTCTTGTAGAATAACTTCCCATTAATGCACAGGACAGTAGTCTTAGTGATGCCTTCCCACTGTTTCCCGTGGATGAGAGATCTGTGAGTCAGGGCAACTTTACATATTATGGTTTTCCTGCGCATGAGTTTTATGCTGTAAGTAAATGGGAATACTTTCTATGTAAGAAATCTAGCATGTAAAGGTGCCCTCGCAAGCTGTTCCTATAAAAAGCAAGGACCTGCATTAATGCCAATATTATGCTCTAGAATGGGATGGTAGCTACCCCACTCCAGAGAGCTCTTGATTTGTCCATTATTTAATCGGTCCTTTGGGGGAGGGACCAGTGGCCATTGCAGGTTGCGTAGATGGGTGGCACTTGTCCCCAGCAATGCTGGTGTATCTCGGTATCCTTTTATTTTATTTTTTCTGTCTCTGTGAGTAAATCAATACAGTGCTCTCCCTTTTTAGCAGGGAGAAAAAATCACCGGCAATGGCTGTAAGTAGCTTGATCCGGAGTTTTGGGTCCCTGCTGCTGTCTTCAAGCCATCATGTCTCACAGGTATGGAGCTGTCATCCCTTTGTTGGCCGTATCCTCTTCCTTTTTTCCAGATGTGGTTGTATCTCGTGTATTGTATATACTAGGGGATTTTAGCTCAGTGGACTCCTGTAACTAAATGTGATTATTTTTCTGCTGTTTGTGGCTTAAATTAAGCTTGGGTCTGCCAGGACACAGCTCTGAAATCTGTTTGGCCAGTGGCACATGCAGCTATAATAAGCAAGAATGCCTTTCCTTAACTGAATGCTCGTAACCAAACTGAGCCTTCACAAATCTGGAATTAGAAGACAAAAAGGTCACCTTGGAGACGGTGACTTCTGCGAAGGCTTTGGCCCCAGCAACTTTCCTTTAAGAGTTAAGCAGCTGCCTGTGATGGGTTCTCCAGAGAAGGCAGCTTACCATTAATCTGTGGTAAAATGGCTTCTTTCTCCCAGTGTGTGTCTCAGACTTTCCGGAAACGAACCAGAGACATGTTCTTGTTTGAGTAAGGAATGGATGAAAGATAATAATTATATGTGGTTTGCTAGGGTCTGAGTGTTCCTAATTTTGGCAGTGCTGGAGCAGTAACTGGCACTGAGTGGTAAAACATGGGAATTTTTCCTTATCCTAGACAAGCATATCCCCCAAGCCCATCTGTCTTGCTTGGCAATTCCATGCATACCGTGAAATTGGCACATCTGCAGTATTGTCTACTTCTGATCCGATGTGGAAATGTCGGATCAAGTACACCACAAGACCCATTGGCATGAAAAAAACAGGAGGTCGAGATCACACAGGTATGTATTCTTAGCGGTGGCTCCCAAAGGTCTGTAGTTATGTGGCCTCAGAACATTAGAGAAAATGTACTAAATGAGGACAGTTCAGAGAGACCAGTAAATCTTGTGTCCTTGTCTCAGAGTAGGAAGTTCTCTGTATTTCCAAGCCCATCAATATGTGATGGGAGGGGTGAGGTCCCAGGGTGGGTGAAATGGGACAGAGATGAGGTATTGGGAAAAGCTGGGTGTGATGAGGCTACAAAAGTGGACCTTGGGTACGGTTGTAGGGCAATCTTGGAACAGCAAAGTAGCTCTGGGTTTAGTTCGTGGTTTGGATCTTACTGAATATCTTTAGTGAAAGATTTCCATCAGTGGAGTGTGACTTCTTTTGCCCCCCTCTTGTAGCAGCCCAAAATGTCATTTGCAGTGCTGCTCCTGGGGGAC